CTTCAAAATTCATGAAACTCAGGGATGACCTTTTCATCTGGTAGTACCTAATAGCAAATGTGGAGAGTCTTTCACTAACCTACTGGTCAAGTTAAAGTTCAGTGGGTTCAATATAATTGGGAGTTGGCTTAAAGAGAATGTTTTCTTGGGTCTTTATCAAATGAATAATTGGCTGTGTTTGAAGAAAACCCCAACTTGTCAGGTTGTCCTATCATTTGATTGATGTGATTATCATACTTGGCAAACACACATCTCAACAATGATTGTATCTTGGGCTCATCCGGGATTTTAACCCGGGACCTCTCGCACCCTAAGCGAGAATCATACTCCTAGACCAACGAGCCACGTTTATAAAGAAAAGTTCGTCAGGAAACTAAAAAAATTCAAGCCATAACTTCCACAGTTTATTATGTTGTCCTAAGATAAAAAAAGAGGCTATGTTTCATTTTGTATTGTTGATTTAGTTAGTATTTTTACAACCAGCTAGTGACCTTGTTCTTTTCAATCAACATGGCAATCCTTTGAGGATCATTATCAAGATTTCCATGACATTGAGTGTATATGTTATGCTCATGTATGTAACAAGAACATGAGGTCCTTACTCTTTGATTTTTAGTTCACAGTAGATTTAAAACACTAAAGGGTTGGTACATAAACAAGATTTGGTTGAGGGAAGAATTCATGTTTGAGTGAGGTTGTGTTACAAATGATTGAGTTGCTCTATGGTTAAAAATAATTCTCCTCATTTTACCTTTATTATTTATATTAAGTGACTTTAGAACAAGTACTTTTAAGCAATGAAAGCTGGGCTTGTCTGGGATTTGAACCCGGTATTTCTTGCACCCAAAGAGATAACCATACTCCTAGACCAACGATCCTCTTGTTTTAGACTTAAAAAATAATGAAACTCAAGGATGACCTTTTCATCTGGTATTATCTACTAGCAAACGTGGAGATGTTTCACTAACCGACTGTTCATGTTAAAGTTCTCTGGGTTCAATGTAATTGGGAGTCGGCTGAAAGAGAATGTTTTTCCTGGGTCTTTGTCAAATGAATAATAGGCTGTGTGTGAATAAAACCCCAACTTGTCAGGTTGTTCTTTCACTTGATTGATGTGTTAAACATACTTGGAAAACACACATCTCAACAATGAATGTATCTTGGGCTCGTCCGGGATTTGAAACCGGGACCTCTCGCACCCTTAGCGAGAATCATACTCCTAGACCAACGAGCCACTTATAAGTACTTCAGGAAACTAAAAAATTCAAGCCAAAACTTCCACAGTTTATTATGTTGTCCTAAGATAAAAAAGAGGCTACGTGTCATTTTGTATTGTTGATTTAGTTAGAATTTTTGACAACCACTGAACACACAATCTCATACAAAATCCTGCTTCTCACCTACAAATGTATCCACTGTCTCGCCCCTCCTTAACTCTCCGATCTCCATAGGCGTCATTTTAACCGGGGACGCCGGGGACATGTCCCCGGCAAAATTTGTGATTGGCAGCTGTGTCCCTCCCACTTTCAAAAAAGCCTGCTGATGAGGATTTTTGTTTCACCAACTCAGATCTTATACCAGGGGTCGGCAACCTGTTCCCATCAAAGAGCCATTATTACCCGTTTCCCACAGTAAAGAAAACACCGCAGTAGCCGCAGCGTTGTGGGCGGAGCCTACCCTCAGACAGCAGAGCGCTGCTCACAACCAGGTGACAGCAGCCGGTACCGGTCACGCGCATGGGCATCACACCCGTGGGGGATTCAACACCCACACTTTTCCAGCTGTTTTGCTCACCTCCACACCAGTCTGGTTTCTTTATGTCGCACTCTCTCTGTTTGCCTCATCTCCTTCTTCACCTCCCGACAGCCGATGTCGGGTTTCCAGAGAGCAGGAGAGGCAGGGACGGAAGAGCTCGATTGAATTCATGATTTTACATCTTGACATTAGCTGTACAAAGTCTGAGTTTGATAAAGTGAAGAACAACCATTTGCAGAGGTTTATAACAGGCGCGGCGCCAGGTTTTCATTTTTGGGTGGGCCACGGTAATTCTGGACGGGCCTTAATAAGCAGTGACAGTGAGGCAGGCAGGTCGCGCTAGAAAATTTCGTTTAAAAAGACGTCATATGTTTTCCCCCGTCATTTTTATTTCTAAAATATGAAGTAAAAACTCACAATTTAATTTTCATTCATTTGTCATTAATATTTAGTCTACACCCGTGCGTTAAGTGGACCATCTTCCAGTAAACGCAAAGCTTCCAGCCCACCTTTCCAAATACGTAAAACGTGCACCACAGCCGTTAGGCGCGCCGCGCGCACCGTCAGCTACATCAGCCCAGACAAGAGCAGAGCAAATAGAGAAAGAATAGAGGATAATTCTGTCTGGATGTGGATGGAGATTACATTTTACAGCAGCCTGATCATCATTTAAATAAAACCATCACCTGTCTTCTAGTCCATGCTATCAGCATTATTTTAATTGGTGTGTGTGTGTGCGTGAGTGTGTATGTGTGTGTGTGTGTGTGTGTGTGTGTGTGTGTGTGTGTGTGTGTGTGTGTGTGGTTTGTGTGTGTGTGTGTGTGTGTGTGTGTGTGTGTGTGTGTGTGTGTGTGTGTGTGTGTGTGTGTGTGTGTGTGTGTGTTTTCCACTTCCAACACTGGTCTAACCAACCAGACCAGCGTGTCCAGTAACATATTAATGTTACAATTATACAGTTTCACTTCATGTAGGCTAGGAACATTTCACCTGCCGTGGCCCGACCGCTTCTGCTCCACATAAACTTTGTGCGTAATCAAATGTCTCTACAGGTGCTTTCTGAGCTGCTATTCTGCCTCAGACTGGATGCGTCATGCGTCTCCATATTAGAGACGGGAAAAAGCGCTGTTCAGCCAAAGTTTAATAATTTCATAAAAAGAACATTTTCCAAGTGAAACATCCCTCAGAGAGACCGGGTTTCCAGAACGCTTCAGTGGGAGGAAATCTTATCGCATGCACCGTGGTTCTGCGCTGCGCTGCAAAACCCTTCTACAGATCTTCAGCTCACTGTCCACTGTGGTCGCTCCGAGCCGCGCTAAACACAGTGTCCAGTATAAAGCTCTGATGTTCTGATGGGAATCAAGTTACCTCTGCGATGTGCGTATTAAAATGTCAGCTCATCCATGCGCATCAGTGTGCGTCGGGGTAATTCTTTCAAAACAACCAACATCCTTGAGTTTATCCATCAAAATACAGTCAAATGGAAATATCTGTAACCTGCCATTTAACTGTTTTGCCTTCTTGTGAAGATTGTTGCAAAGAGAAACAACTAAACTTGATTAACCCCAGAGCCACGCGCACTGCGCTGTACGTCGTGACTGTAAATGAGGGGAAATGATTTAATCGGATCCTTTTCTTTTCAACATGGTTTAATGTAGTTTCATTCAGTACAAATTTTAGTTACACCAATCTAACGAGACAGAGCCTGGATTTGTATTCTGAACAGTTTAAACATGTTTAAAACGGAGACATGTGTGACGCGTCTAAAATTCGCACCTGCTCCGCTATTATGGAAATTAAACAAGGTGAATAACATGAAATTATTTTAGGCATAGACAACATCTCCCACACTTTTGAAAATCTTGCAACGCGCCTGGTCGCTCGTGTACGTCAAAGTTATCTTTCATAAGAAGATAATCAATAAAACGATTTATATAAAGATGATCCAGAAGTTGTAGCCCGTCTCTGCCTACATTTTGATATTTTTCACCCTGTTGGTGGTTTTACTGAGCAGGTGCCACTTTTGTCAAACGCTTCTTTTAAAAACATGTTTAGACTGTTCAGAATACAAATTCAGGCTCTCAGAACCAGAGCGCATGTGAGAAGGTTCCTCCCACTGAAGCGAGTGTTTTCCAAACCCGGTCTCTCAGAGACTTGTCACTTAGAAAATGTTCCCTGATTATGAAACTTTGGCTGAATAGTGCTTGTTCCTGTCTCCAATGTGGCGACGCATCCAGGAGCTGTCTGAGGAGAATCCCAGAATCTGACATCCTCCAGCTCTGGAAGCGCATATGATTACGCACAAGCGTGACGCGTCAACCCGGTCTCACAGTAAGACCGGGTTGGACCTGTTCAGGTTTACGCAGACAATCTTTACATTTAGAATTAGCATACACATGTAAAATTAATGCAGTAAAATATAAAGCATTTTATTTAAATATCCATTCATTATTTTACAAGCACAGAGAGCCGCATCAGATGGATGGAAGAGCCGCATGCGGCTCCAGAGCCGCCGACCCCTGTGCTAGCCATATTGTCCCCAGCAATTTTTAAACCCCACTCAAGTGTATGGTTATTGTCCCCAGCAATTCTGAAAACAAACTGACACCCTTGCCGATCTCATCCATGTTGCTGTCCCATCTCGCTCCCTCAGCTCCTCCTCTGCCATTCACCTTGTGGTTCCTCCTGCTCATCTCACCACCGTTGGAAACAGAGCTTTCAGTCGCTCTGCTCCTCGGCTCTGGAACTCACTTCCTCCTGACATCCGAAACACTGACTCCCTCCTCTCATTCAAATCCAAACTCAAAACTCACCTGCTCAACCTGGCTTACTCTCTAGACCACAAACTCTTTACTCTGACATTTATAGCATACTTTCTGTAATTTTATTGTTTAAATTATCTTGCTCTTATTTGTGTGTAAATTTTATCCTGTTTTGTGAGGTGACCTTGGGCTTTGAAAGGTGCCTATAAATTAAATGCATTTTTATTATCCTCAGTAAGCTGAGTCCATTTAAATGATGTAATATATGTAGAAACAGGACTCCTCCTGGGTGTGTAAGTTATGAAGGTATTATTTAGATTTTATCCACAATTCATGAAAATGTCTTCAAGCCAAATTATCTGTTATTTCTAATCTGTTAAACCTAATGGTCTAATGGGTCACTGACCATTGTCAAACAGCAGGTGACACATGGTCACATGGTCTGAGTCATGTGTCTGTGGAAAAACGAAACAGCTGGAGACATAAAACAAAACAAACATATTTATTTGTGTAGAAACCAGTTAAAAGTCATCATTGTTGGGTCAGAAATACGAAACAAATCTTAGTTCATTCATAACTGTGAAGGTATATGAGGGTTTTTCTTTACAAAAAGTGTTTTTGCTGTAATTTTTGAATTATTTATTAGTACATAAACTCAAATGTGTAGCCCCTAAGGACCTGAGGTTGTGATTCATCACTTCATTAATCCAAATCTTGATACCATCTCCCTGGAGAACATAAATAAAGAAATGCTTAACTGTTGCTCTTATGCAAAATTCACCTTTTCATCTGTGTGACAGCTCGGGTAAGCTAGATCTCACACAGAAGCCTTTTGATGTCACGGTCACCTTTACCTTTGACCTGCTGACTAGATGTAGTCAAAGATTTACTGAGTTTTCACGTGTTAACAAACCAAAATACACAACTCCATGATGCTCTAGCTAATCAGAAACCATCTTCTATCGATCTTTAAAAGCTGCAAGATGATTCAAAAACTGGAATCAAGCATCAGCTCTGGCCCACGACAACCCTGGTCCTGGTTGATCTCAGACTCTTAAAGGCTTCTGAGTCCCCCTTAGTTGCTGTGGACCAGGGTGACAAACAGGAAAAGTGAGCAAAGAGCGATGGCCCCAGTCAGCACAGCTTTCACCAGCAGCAACGTCCAGCTCCCCAACATGAAGACATGGACGAACAACCTGAGGACATAAGAGGGGATAGTTAGATCATCCTTAAACCAATCCATCAGCAGACTCAAACAGATTCACACAGGTAGAATGAGTAAGGACTAGGGGTGGGCGGTATGACCCAAACTAGAGGCTATGGGGTTTTGTTTAAGGCCGATGCCGATTTTTAAAGAATGTTGTTGCCGATGGCCGATATCTAAACATTTTAGCAGCACATTGATTGTGAAAGACAACTAAACACTCACTGTGTGCAATATAAATTAAATAAGTCAAAAAATCTCTTGATATTTATTGAACTTCTAATATAAAACAAACTCAAAACATTAAAAAAACAGTGTGTTGGGGTCCTTTGGGTCCTTTCTTCAGTCTAGTTGTGGCAGCAGTTGGCCACAAAGGTGTCTGATTATTATTATTATTATAATTTTTTTTGGATCAGTTGTTTTTTTCCTGGCCGATAGAGAAAAAACTAAACATGTCGACCGGCTGATACATCAGTCGGCCTCTAACCCAAACATATCAAATTTTAGAGCAGTGGTCCCCAACATTGTTTCACAAGGACCCCGTTTCCTGTATCCAAGTCCACCCAGCCGCCCCCAACCCCAACTCCTAGGTGTGTGTGCACACAATTAAAAGTGAATAATTACAAACTTTATAATGTGGGTGGGTGTGTTTCCTGGAATTTATGAAAGTAATTTTTACAAAAATAATCTTGGTAACCTCACAACCTCAGCACACACAAAATTGTGGGGACCCCCTGCAACCTTTTGAGGACCCCTTGGGGAGTCACGGACCATTGCCCCGAGATAAACATTTCTATTCTAACCCTATTTATTGACTTAGACGTTTGTAGTTATAAAGTAAATAAAATATATTTCAGTAAAGTTCACAGGAACGCATTATGCTATGCCCCCTCCGGGTCGGGAGACATTTAGATGTCTAACTTGTGATTTCATTTGTAAATGTTAGAGTATGTCAGCTTGAAATAGTCCTTCCTAATGATATATGATATTAAATACTGTACGCACCACTTTGACTTACTACACTGAATGTTCTCCAACATGGTACTTACTCCATTAGGAAGGCTTTGTAAACACACAAGGCTAGCAGCACCGTGACAGGCAGCCTGAAGCTCTTAGGAAGGTCGTATCGAGTGAACATCCACACAACTGCTGCCATGGCGATATAATGGACCTGTACACAGACAAACGTGTTTTATGTACACAAAAAGGCCCCATTACACGTTTACATTTCTGTAAAAATTGTCATGTCATCCAGAAATAACTAAAAAATTTTAGACGGACATGATGGTAAAAAATGGCTCCTCACCAAACTAATGTTTGAGTCAAAGCTCATCTGGATGTACTTCCAGTCAAACTCGATCCCTCTGGCTCCAACCCAGAGAGGGAGGAACCTGACAGTCAGACACAAATGTAGCGTTAACACGGAATAACTGAACAAAAGCAAAGGTAGGCAATGTTCGATCCAGCATGTTTTAGTCGTTTCTCTGCTCCAACCTGACACAATGGTTAATGACCTGTTCAGCAGCTCATCCAGCTCTACAGACGCCTGTTAATCACCTGATTATCAGGTGTGTTGAAGCAGAGATCTCCACTCCAGCACACCTGGTTACAAGGTTGTCTACCCATGTTCTAGACCTGTCACTGCACACCTGGACATCACCAGCTCTGCTGTCGCCCAGCCCATCGCAGCCACCATAATCTTGTACTCTCCTTTCCCAGCGTTCCGGGACATCACCAGATGGAGGCCCAACAGGTCTGCTAGGTCCACTGTGGCCTTCATGAATTCCTGACAAAGAGAAAAGGATCTGAGCTATTATGCACAAACACACACTTCCATAGATGTGTAGATGCTGAGGTAAGATTTCAACACTCACCCCAATAAAGTCAATAACTCCTGCTCCTCCTTCCCATGTAGGGAAAAATGTAGCAAGGAACAGCATCTACAAATCAGAGACAAGCTTGGTCACACAGACCATTTGATGTTTTCTTTGCTGTGATTTTAAAAATACTTTAGAGTTGGAAGATTTATTAGAACGGTTGTCAACACTTTTGGCAAAACATAAACAATGCCTATGACCAACTGGTAAAGAGCTGAAGGCAGAACACTTCCTCAGGATCATCAACATCTCACACGCTGCCCTTTATTCTACAAATAAATAAAGTTACTAAACAAGTCATGTTCTCTTCTTGGTTCAGGGGTAGTCCGGTGTTTAATCCAGATTGGAGCAGAGTTGTTTTCATCAACGACGACTAAATGATTTTGTTGACTACCTTTTTTTTTCCTCATAAGGAAAACAAGATGCTGACAAGCTAACAATAGCTCTTTCGTGGTTAAAAGATGAGTTTTCATTGACAAGAATAGTTATGCTCAAAATGCAAATTTCTGCTAAAAATCCTGCAGGACCCACCGGCATGCAGCACAGATCTCAACAGTCCTGTGTGCCAAGAAAGTGCTTCCCTGCTGCGGGAACACACATCGCTTAACACTTTTTGAGGAAGTAAAAGGCCAGAAATAAGAGCGATCACGAGGCTACATTTAAATTATTCATAATTTTAACATGTTTCTTATCCGTGTGCTTCCTGAAAACTTGTTTTTGGGCAAATAAGTGAAAGAAGGTGTTTTTAACGTGTTTTACCCGAGTGCAGTTAAGACGAATGTCATTGTGTCAGGATAATGTTTTTGCTGCCTGGTTCCTAATAACAGGTCACACTGCTGCTTTTTTAAACCAACAGCATCACAGTTTAGGCACAGCTAAATGTTTATGAGCATGTTGCTGCCGCAGGTACAGACCGGCCACAGCCTGAGTGAGAATGCAAATAGCATCACCGTTGATGCCCAAGTGCAGATCTTGGTAATCTAAAGGAATTCTGTGGGCTGATGGTATCTCAAACCACTCTAGATGTATGGGAAAACATTATTGCATTTAAGCAGGTTGACTTTGACAGAAAGGTGGGATGTGAGCATTATGCATTTAAAGACACCAAGTTAGATGTCTGACAAATCATAATTAAATCCAACAATATACGTGTTTTGTTTATATTTAAATGTTACGTAGAATACTCTGTATGCTCCCAAGTGTTCGTTCTGGTGAGGGGAGAAATTCTCTAAGACTGCAGGAAGCAGCAGAAACACTAAGGAATGATCTTCCTTTATCCTTACGTAGCATTGACAGTCTGGAAACTTTTAAAAACAGCTAAAGACCCTTTTATTTAAAGCTGCTTTTACCTAAACCTTTTATTTTCTAATTGTTAACTCAATTTTTTTCATCTTTCATCTGTTTATGAAATGTTATAATTTTATGACATTATTTTTTCTGATGTTAATCTATTTCTGTTTTGAGAGCATTATGATTATATGACTTTGTTTTATTTTGTTTTCATTTATGTGAAGCACTTTGTGATTCTATGTCTGTGATAAGAGCTATATAAATAAAATTTACTTACTAAATAAAGCTGATAAGTGGTGTTTTCTGTGTGTGACCCTTGAGGTAGCGGTCAGTGCTAAACTGTCTCTCTCTCCCCCGCAGCCGTGCATGCTTCAACACAGTGACTCATTCCTTTTGTTGTGTGTAGGCTAAGAAGTGTTATTTTGTTTTTACACACTGGCCCTTTAAGCATATTTTAATATTTTGCCATATGCGTTAGCTTAGGGACAGTCTTGTCTTCTATTGTTCTTCTTCTTATTATTGTCCATCTGAAATCCATGCTTTATTAATTTGTCTTAATTAAAAACCAAAAAAGAAAAAGTGAAAGGTTTTTTTTTATTTGTTGTTATTTGATGTCTTGCTTTTTGTATTATCAGTTTCAGCCTCGGACCAAAAATACAAAATGGAAAAAACGGGCCACATATAAACTGATGCATCGGGTTTACATGGACAGGTGTGTGTAGGGAGCATGTACAGGGTGGGGAGGGAGGATCCAGTGAACTGCTGGAGAAAAAAATGCACCACTTGTCCATTAAATATTAAAATTAAACAAGGTTCTGTATGACTTTTTCTGTTTGTTGTGTCCAATTCAAATTTTATTTATTAATTTTTATTTTTCATTTTTTGATTTCTGGTTTTTAATTGAAAATAAATTAAATCAGATTATTTGGCATTTTTCCTGACTGAAAAAATACAATCTGAAAAGCAAACTGCCCAATGCGTGAGTATGTGTGGACTCTCTGGATATGTTGAATACATCAAACAGCGTAGTGTCACATGTGCACATTACAGCTGCCTGCCACACCGAGGTAAATCATAGTTAAACACGTAAAATGTGTAGCTGTTTGACATTAGTGCAGTTTCTGTGAGAAAATATACTAAACGTTTGTAGATTGTAATTATTGATGGGAAATTTAATCTAACAAAACAAATAACAGGTGGAAAAATAAACAACAGTTTATGGATTCATAAATCTGTCCAACTCTATTACGAGTAAAACAAAAACAGAAAACAAATCCTACTCACCTTGCAAAGTTGAACAAACAGGTATGTCGCTCCAGCCTGGACGCATCTCCAAAAAGCATTGTATTCTGAGCTAAAAACAACAACAACAACAACAACAACAACAAAAGAACACATTAAAACAACAAGAGGTTTAGAACAATTCTACTTCGAGGCTTAATAAATTACAGACTGAATGAGTCCTTTAGTAAACATACTGTATGGATCTAAAGCGATTATACAAAGCCTCCACCAAAACCTGACGTTACTAAGAAGATTATTAGAGTGGACAGTCTCAGGACACATGCTACTTCTGCTACAGAGCAGTGGACCAAAGGAGGACATACTTCATCAGACTGAGACTGGATAAAGACAGATACTAAAGCAACACTCACAGTCCGCTGCACTTGTAGGTTATAAAATATGGAAAATAGGCGAGAGCAAAGCAGTTCCCGAAGTGGAAAAGCGTCATGACGCCACCTGGTGCTCCCTGAAAGGCAGACAACATAAAAATGCCTATAAGAGTCTACCCGTAGCTATATCATAGAGCTAAATCCACGCGCTGACAATAAAAATAACAGAAACAGATATTTAGTAGCAGCTGTGTAAGAGGTTAAACATTTGCATTCAGAGCCAACAGAGTAATAAAGTAGTGTGATTACAAGCAATCGTTTGTACATTATTAGCTAACACCTCGCTGTTTGAAGCTAACGTCGCTTCTCCCGGGGGAAAAAAAGACAAACACGAGGTGATGTCATAATGAAGCGAACAGGTAAAACAATTTGTTGTCAGGAAACACAAGTGATTGAATCATACAACTCACTAAGATCTTCAAATGGGAGAAAATGAGCAGCACACGGTGGAATCCTAGGGTGGAATCAATGACAACCGGAAGTGATTTTGGCTTTGCCTCCAAATGCGACCGGTAACAACAGGAATCAAATAAACTGTTCCGCAAAATGACTCTCCCTGTGGTTACGAGCATCATACTGGTACAGCAGTCCTTTTATTCTATAAAATACTTTTTTACCCTAAATTTGAAAAAAAATTTATATTTGTTTTATTATAGGTTTCTTTTTTTATTTTTTATACTTTTATTACTACGTTTTAATTTTCTTTATTATTATTATTATTATTATTATTATTATTATTATTATTATTATTATTATTATTATTATTATTATTATTATTATTACTATAGTGGTGGTGGTGGTGGTAGTAGTAATAGTAGTAGTAGTAGTAGTAGTAGTAGTAGTAGTAGTAGTAGTAGTAATAGCAGTAGTGGTCTGTCTCTGGTATTCTGGTATGGTTTCTTCAAAAATAGCAAAATTTCTATTGTAAATATTTATGGAAGAGGTTAAAGGTGCAACATGTAAGAATATAGTGAGAATTTTACAGTGAGAAAATCCCGAAAGAGTCTAATGTTTCAGTCATTTTGGAAGGTTATACTGAAACATATTTCATATCCAGCATGGATTGTCAGTTTTTCTCCTTTCAAAACAAAGGAAGGAGGGATGTAACTACTGTTTACCATCAGTGAGTGTGGGGTTGCAGTGTCTCCTGTGAGTTACTACTGCAGCGCCGACAATTGTAATTTGACGACGGACGACAAAAAGCCCCACAGTTGTTTAAAGTGATTGCAATAACCAATTTTTACCACAGGATGTTATTTTTACTTCGTTTTTACATAATGCACCTTGAATTACGAATTTAGATGACTTACCTCGAACTATGACTGAAATTTGCAGATCCTGCACAGTATCTTAGCTGTGCTGAGAACTGCACATTTCTGGACTTCCGGAATCTGCTGTGGCCAATCCTCCTGTTTCAGGTCAGCTGAAATACACAGTGCAGGCCAAAACTTTGGACACACCTGTCTCATTCACTGTGTTTTCTTTATTTTCATGACCATTTACATTAGTAGATTCTCACTGAAGGCATCAAAACTATGAATGAACACACACTATATATATATATATATATATATATATATATATATATATATATATATATATATATATATATATATATATATATATATATATATATATATATATATATATATATATAAAGTCATGAATCACTTCTGATTCCAATTGAAAACTCAAATAAAGGAAACAAACATTCAATACACACACAAGCTGGGAAAAAATGGAAAAACAACAGGTATTCTTTAAATTTGTTTTTCAAATTATACATTTGCATTTTATTTTTATAATAGTCAGTCATCCAAAAATAAAAGGGAATCAAAATTAATATAGACTTTGTAAAGGGTAGCGTTTTGAAAATGTGCTAAAATATAGTCTTGTTTCTTATTTGGTTTGTTTATGCCCCTCTGTCATTTCTGTCACACCGGTTTTCAGAACAGGAGTTTACCTCTCCACACTTTTCTGTTTCTCTCTAAAAGATTCTAGTCGGCATTACTCTTATTGTGGCTTGTTTGTTGCTATAGTTGATTTCCTTCTGTGCGCTAAAGTATTTCTTCATCTTTTGTCGAAGTGACAACTTTTGTACGGGAGCAGATGAAATTCCTTGACTCCGAGCAGTCCCTGGTGATCCAGTGGCCTGTTTCATTCTTGGACAACACTCCACAGCGTCTCAGCTGGCTCGGACAGTCAGGCAGCATCATCTCGCTGTTCGTCATCTGTCCATCTGGCCACCACCACTTTCCTCCCAGGAAGCGCAAACCAATCCAAACCTGGCAAACACACACTGATGTTATAACAGCGTTTTGTTGATTTAGGAACCAAATTTTAGTTATTTTTTTGTTTGTATTGTGACCAGACCTCCTCGGTGGTGGTTCTGTAGATCCTGTTGCTTATGTAGCTGCTGTCGGATAAGTTAGTCAGGCTCAGGAGGTCGTACCGGTACGATGATGTCGTCATCTTCCTGCAGTAGCTCAGGGCATCCTCCCATGTCATGTTCTCAGTCACAACCACCAGGTTGTCATCAAAACAGATGAACGGAAGCAGAGTGGAGCACACGGTCTTATGCCACTTTTTAGGTGTAGTGTAAGAATATGAGCCACAGCTGCCAGTGACAGAGCTTTCTAGGGCCCAGTTAGAGCTTGCTGAGAGGTTCTCTCCAGTCACGCCTTCACCAGTTCTGGAACAAACACACAGACGATGCAAACCACAAAACTGAGTATTTAAAAACCTGATGTAAACTTACTTTAGATTGATCCACTTCCAGACAAAAGCTTGGTCAGGATCTTCCTGCAAACCGATCCACACAGTCATAAACCTTTCATTCCTCAGCCACTTTGTCATGTATTCCACATCCACAATGTCCCAAGTGACCAAGTCTTGATAAGTGCTTCTGCAGTAACTTCTTGCACTGTTCCATCCCAGCGTCCGAGCAGGGCAGTAGAGTGTTATCTCAAGGTCTGCCTTCAACCAAAGCACCATCATGAGAAGGATGAATATGACCAGCTCAGGATGGCGGTGTCTCTCCATGCCTGCTTCTACTGTAAACAAGTCAGATGTAAGTGACTGTGAGGAAGTCGTCTCTATTTTTATACCAACATGCAGGTCAGTGGGTGCCGGACACACCTCACTACACTCAACTGATCAGTAACACCAGTCCACTCCTGCTGCTGGGGGGTGAATCTGCACTTAAGATACAATGAACAGTTTAAAGATGAATAGAAATCAAGCAAACGTGTTGTGATTAAGAAGTCAGGTTTTTTTTCTTCTGTGGAACCAATTTGATCAGTTTTTCTTCATTCTTGAAATTTTATCTGTAAAATGACAGAAATGATGAAATCTTTATGAAGAGATTAAAAGAACTAACAGACAACATGAACCACATAAGTAATCACTGTGTTGATTTAGTTTGTTTAATTAACGCACAACAATGTAAAGAAATACTACAAAAGCTCAGAAGAAAAAGTTGTTCCATTGTAAGTCGTGCGTGTTTAGTTGAGTCTCTAGTTTACATCTGATTTGCCTTTGATTCATAGTCTTTTTGCCACGATGGGGAAAGCCAGGCTTCAGGAAAATGATTACGTTTGAATATTTGCAAAGTTGTTTCAATACTCTATGCTGATTTGTGTGGCTAATTTAATCCTAGTTGATGCTAAATTAAATGAATGAAATCATCACAATTTAAAAAATCTGATGCCTAGAATTACCAGTACTTAAAGGGGCCCATTTATTATTATTATTATTGTTATTCTTCTTCTTCTTCTTCTTCTTCTTATTATTATTATTATTATTAGGGCTGTGTTGGCTGACGCAGATCTGCAATATCTTGTGAACATCAGAGCAGTCCCACTGGACTGGCAGACTGGGGTGGTGATCTCGCTATTTAACCCTCCCACTGTCTTTATTTTTAATCTTTCCTCTGTTTATGAAACTTTATAACTTAATGACTTTATTTTTTCTTATGTTAATCTGATTCTGTTTTGAGAGCATTTTGATTTTATGATGTTAATCTATTTATGATTTAATGACTTTGTTTTATTTATTTTGTTTTGATCTATGTGAAGTACTTTGTGATTCTATGTCTGTGATAAGTGCTGTATAAATAAAATGTACCTACTTACTTTATGGGTGACTCCGCGAGGAAAGTTGACCATTGAGCAGGATTGATGGTTTATCCCTTGAGGTCCATGTGGCAGGGGTGAGGTGATGCTCACTCCTCTCCCCTGCCACATGGACCCATGGACATAAAATATCCAATCAACCCGATGTGCATGTTTTTGGTTAGAGAAAACATACTAACGCCACACAGAAAGACCCCAGCTGGGAATCAAACCTGCAACCTTCACACTGTAAGGTAACAGTTTTAGCAATGCACCACCATGCAGCCTGTGTTGTTTTGATGTGAACAAACCAGACTTGTTAAAATTGGGGTTAGGTGTTCTAAAAAAGAGCCAACACACCCATGGTAGACATCTTAGATTACTGGAGCAATCAGGCTCCTTCGGGGTTCTAATGTTACCCCCAACAGCCTCAGATGGCAGCAGGGGATTGGTGGAGACACAGCCAGTAAAAACACCAACAAAGGCCACCAAAGCAGTCCTGCATTTGTCTCTCTGTTTCATTTAAATGTTCTGTGCATTCAAAGCAGTCTTTGCACTAATTTTGAGAGATCAGGCTGCAGGGAAATGATGCGATTTGAATCTTCAAAGAGACTTTCAGATAATTTACATTCATACATGTCGACAGAAGACTGTGATACTGTGCAAATCTTCAGTTTCACTCCAAACCTCTTCACACTCTACTTCCAAGAGGCCAGAATTTCTTAAATTATTTTCAAATTATCTAAATCAATTAGATTATTTAATTGTTTATTTGTTTATTTTTAAGACATCACTAATAAGCCTGAATGGTTTAAAACTTTTATTTTTGTTAGTTAACTTTTACACATTTTAACACCTTACAACCACAAACTTCGATATTTTTATTAAGGTTTTCTGTGACAGCCCAGCACAAACTGATTGTGTTGGGCTTAAAAGCTAAGGCTTAACTTTAACTGATTATTTTTATTACTCATTTATTCACATTATTATTTATTTTATCTTTATGCCTTCTATCAGAGCTTTACCATCCTATATTTTAACTTTATTTTATCCTTTTCCAGTGTTTCCTCTGTGGGGGCCCTCTGTCCCGTGGGCGGTGGTCGGCTGTGGGGGTGGAGGTGGGGATCTCTGCCCTCCCTCATCTCAACTCAGTCCAGTGTGTTTAATTTGTTGCATCTCCTATGGGTCCTAGCAATCTGCAAATGGGACTTTTATGTCAACAATGGCTTCTTTCTTGCCACTCCTCCACAAAGGCCAGGTCTGTTCAGCACACGACATACGATAGATAGAATCTCTCAAATGAGCTGTGGATTTCTGCATTTCCTCCAGAGTGATAATGGGTCAAAGCTTGTCTGACTATAACTTATAACCTTTATCTCTGACCAGTCTGGTTTGTTCCTTGGGCTTCGTGATGCTGTTTGTTCACTAAGGTTCTCTGACAAACCACCACGGCCTTCACAAAGCAGGTGTATTTATGATGGGACTAAATTACACGCAGGCGAACTACATTATATACTTCCGAAGGCAATGGGTTTGCAACAGATTTTATTTAGGGGTATCAGAGTACAGGGGGCTGAATACAAATGCATGCCACACTTTTCACATCCATCCATTATCGTTCACTCATCCAGGGTAGGGTTGCAGGGGCAGTAGCCTAAGCAGAGAGGTCCAGACTTCCCTTTGCGAAGCCACTTGGGCCAACGCTTTCCAAGGTGTTCCCGGGCCAGCCGAGAAGCATAGTACCTCCAGCATGTCTTGGGTCTTTCTTCAGGTCTCCTCCCGTTTGGATGAGAATGGAAAACTTCACCGGGGAGTCATCCAAGAGGTATCATAACCAGGTGCACAAGCCACCTCAAATGGCTCTAAGAGCCCAGACACCCTGTGGAGAAAACTAATTTCGGCTGCTTGTATCCGCGGTCTCACACTTTTGGTCACTACTCAAAGCTTGTGACCATAGGTGAGGATAGGAATGTAGCTCAATTGGAAAATCGAGAGGTTAAGGACCTTTCATCAGCTTGACAGCATCCCTAACTACCGATGTCCACCGGGGGGTGGGGGGGTTGTTGCCACGACAGGCACCGATGATCCTGCAGCTACATCTCTGGTCGGCCGCCTCAACAATGGAACATAGCCCAATCGGATCTTCGAATAGTCTCCCAACACTGGATTGATAAGAATAGATTGTTAGAATATCAACAAAATAAATCTTTAGTTAAACACAAATTTAAGTTAGGAAATTTAAGAGTAAAGTACAAACACCATCAAGTGTATTAATTATTATTATTATTATTATTATTATTAATCAATCAATTTCCCTCTGGGATTAATAAAGTATTTTTGAATTGAATTGAGTACCTTATTCTAATAAAAGTAATCAAATTAAAATATATTAAAAAATACATTGTTTTGAAAATAACAATGACCAAAGGCAGTAAAGATTTCTTTTTGTATTCTGCAACAGGGTTTACTTGTTTGTAGATGAAAGAAGTGTTACTTTGTAACTTGAGGTAAATGCATTTAATATACAATAACACAATCTATCTCTGCCCCAGTCGGTTTCTACAGCCAGACGCATCCAACCCAGCCTGGTCCTGGGTGAGAAAATAGTCAAACACTGCCATCTTCTGATTTTCTTCTGTTCCTGCAGAGAAAAAACAATCAGATCTAACTTCATGTAATATGAAATGCTTGAAATTGTTTTTAATTTCTCACAAAGGAGTTTCATAAAATGTAAAACCAGAAACCAAGGTTGAAACCGTTTTGCTTTGAGGCAACAGTGCCTGAGTACATCATTTCCATTGGCAGAACTCCAAAATGTCAATGAACACTTGTGAAGTACCCGAAGCTTGGAAATGTACCAAAGTCAAAGTCAAGAATGCGAAACATAAATAATTACAGACCAATCAATAATTAATAGCGTGGTGTACATTTTTGAGAACATTTTATTAATTCAACTATCTGACTGTCTTTCCAGATACTATATCCTTTCTCTATGCCAATCAGGCTTCAGGAAACACTTTTCTGTCACAGCCCTTAACAAATGTAAAGAAGTTGAGACACTAATAGTGCACTGAGGCCATCTTCTTAGATTTTACCAAAGCGTGTGATCTAATTGATCAGAGTTTTTGTACTCTTGGTTTTATTGTTATTTACTGGTGATATTCTTGGAATGTTTTTGTTTTTAGGCATTATGTGCATTTTGATTTTATTGTTTTGTATGCCTTATGACATCCGTTTTAGTATGGTCTTATTATCTTTAATTTTAATGTATATGATCTATGATTTTATTACGTATTGCACTTTGGGCAGCTGGTGGCATTAAGGTGCTTTATAAATAAATAAATGATGAAATGATTGTTACCTCCTCCTCGCTAGACTGAATGCTACTGAGATGCTTCCTATCTTCATCATCAATGTCTGTGTGTGTCCTATAAGGGACAGTCAGATTTTAAAAGGTATTCCTCAAGGTTCCCGACTTGGACCTCTGTTATTTTAAAATTTCATTCATTACTTTCAGTTCAGCTTTTCAGACTGTGATATTCATCTCAATGCTGATGATACTATTATTTATTACAATAGATACTGAAACTAATACCAGTATGTTATTGCTCAGCTGGACTCCAGGGGAATAAAGACAAAACCCCAGGTTAGAAATCTAGGTGTTATTGACTCAAACCTGAGCTCCTCTGGACATATTAAGGCTGTAACTAAATCAGTGTTTGCGGTGGGAAGATTCATGGCTTTAGGGGGCATGGCACAGCAGTTCCCCTTCTGCCATACAATGCATACTTTGATGGCACGAGAGGCACACAATGAAGGTCATGAAGGTGTGGCTGCAACCCTGATGAGAATGAGGAGAAAAGCCTGGGTCATCCGAGGGGGGAAAATTTCCAAAAAAGTAGTGGAAAGCTACTTTTTCTGTAAGAAATCAAAAGCGAAAAAATGCGAACAAATAATGGCTGACCTATCTCCTGAAACATTCACACCTGCAGCTCCATTCGAGTTCACTACAGCCAACCTCTTTGAACCATACACTGTAAAAGACCTGATCCTGCTGTCAGCGGGATGATCTTGAATCCTTTTGACCCAAAAGCTTTTCAACACCTTTGACAGGGTTTGACATCAAAGCACGAGTTTCAATGAAAGAGTGAGGTGTTGTCTTCAGCTGTATGGCCAGCAGAGCAGTTCACGCAGACCTGGTCAACACAATGTCGACAGAAAGCTTGCCAGCGGTTTACTGCAATTAGGGGGCATCCAAGAAAAATATGGTCTGACCCAGGGACAAACTTCACCAGTGCCAAACCAGTTCTACAAGAGCTGTACCAGTTCCTGGAAACTCAAGACAGAGGCACTCCAGAACGTAGGCAGCAACACTGGCCTCAGCTACACCGAGCTTCAGAAGGCATTGGAACTGGCTGCCAATCTGGTAAATGAATGCCCGATAAATGCCAATGTGCAGGACAATGAAGAATGTGTGCAGTATGTCACCCAACACACTTCTCCTGGGTCGAGCCTCTCCAAGTGGTGATGTAAGAACGTTTGACTTTGCAAGCTACCTTTACAAGAGACTCAGAGAGATGCAGCACCTTGTCGACAAATTCTGGAAGTCCTGGAGCCAGCTTGCCGGTCCAAACTTGTTTGTCAGAAGTAAACTGTACACTTGATATCGGAATGTCGCTGTTGGAGATATTGTCTGGCTGTAAGACCAAAATGCAATGAGGCCAGTTCAAGCTAGGACAAGTGGTGAGCATCAATCCTGATGCTAAAAACGTTATTCGCGATGTAAACATCAAAGTGGTCCAGAGCTCCTGCCTTCACAAGACCTGCACCAAAATAGCTGTCAACAAAAGTTGTCAGAGGTCTCATGCCCAGACCAGACATAACATATTCATGCTTTTATTTCTAGTCTGCTGGACTAATGCAATGGTTTCCTAACTAATCTTCGCAAAAAAAAAAGCTGTGAAGCAACTGCAGCTTGTTCAGAATGCTGTACTAGAGTCTTAACAAGAACTAAGAGAATGGAGCACATCACTCCTGTTCTTAGATCTCTACACTGGTTACCAGTCAACTAAGAATAGATTTCAAAGTGCTCCTACTAGTTTATCAATGGCATGGGACCAAAATACATGTCCGATCTCATTCCCAACCTACCTGGTTACACCACATATGCATTTCATGAGCATTTTTTAACTCAGAAGTACCCCTTAAGGACTTAGTTGTTCTTCCTTTTATCAAAACTTACAGTATTTTCAGCCTGAGAGGGATATACACCCAATAGGGCTCTGAGATCCCTCTGAAACAATCAGCTGGTAGAACCTCGGGTCAGAACAAAACATGGTGGAGATGCATTTAGTTACTATGCTGCTCACGTATGGAATCAGCTTCCCCTTGACCCCAGATGTGCCCCAACCCTAGTGTTGTTTAAAACAAAACAAAAAACCCTCATGTACTCATCAGCCTTTAAATGGTTTATCATGCGCTGTCTCCACTGTAACCTGCGCTGTAACTATGCCTTCTTTAGCTCCAAGCTGTAATTCCATTTGTGTATTTTGTGTTGTGTTTTCATATCATGTCCTGAAAATTGTAAAGCACATTGAATTGACTGTGTTTGAAACGTGCTCTACGAATAGAGCTGCCATGCCCTGCCTAAAGGAATTATGGCAAAATTCCACCTGAACCTGATGACTTTTGTGAAGAAAAAAAATAAAATCTTTAAATTAAATGTAAATGATCAAGTTGACCTTTTGCAATTTTGCATTTTATCTTTTGCAGTAACACAAAAAGAACAGCAGGTTGGAGTTTCCCTTTTCATCACTTCATCCTCATGCAGAAGATGGGAGATGGGGAAAGTGGGGAAAGGCTTCAGTATATTATTGTGAGCAATTTAAATTTTAAAACTTCTTTGTATCTTTGACTGCTAGCGTAGCACACCATCCTAATATATATATATATTTATGAGAATATATGGGTTAGGGTTGCAACAGTTTGAACATTTAAATTGTCCCATACGCACATTCCTCATGTTGCTAATGTAACGAATACAAATGAATTGAGAACAGACCATAACACATTTAGAAACAAAGATGTTGCTCCTCTGAATATTTGCTTTAGTTCAGCTTTAAGAGCGCTTTCTGGTTCGTTTACATCTGTAGCCTAAACGATCAGCCATCAGGTGGCACGTGCAGTACAGACAGAACCAATCTGATCCTTGAAGGCTGTTTACTCGAATTACCCCTTAATCATCAACCGAGCGGATATGCAGTCTGACCAGCTGTTCTTTTGCTGCATCTTTGGTTTTTACACTAAAACTGAACTAAAGAAATAAAAATCTCACAAAAAGGTGGAAAATGGAGAAAACAGCTGTTCATGCTGCAAAGGTACACTTGTGTGAAGTATGAAAAAGTAAAACCACTCGTGGATCCAGATTCAGATTAAATCTTTAGAAACCAGACACCAAAGACTGTTTTGGAATTTTTTAAGTTTTATTAATCTCTTTATTCTTAAGCAGAGTAACAATAGGTCTGCCTCTCTTCCCTCCTTCCACTGGTGATTACGCTTTAAAACACACCAACAGTGAAATGGATACAGTAGTTACCATAGTACTCAGTCAGAACGACATCTAGATTGGCAGTGGGAGGTGGAGGGGGGGGGCACAAACACAGAACTTTCACCAACCCGTCGCCCTGTCAATAAAGGTGAAGACAGATAAACTCAGAACACGCAGACTCGCTGCTGCCTACATCAACTGTAGTAGAGCTAAACGTCAAAATGCTATGGCTATGGGTGGGGCTTGTGTAAAAGATAAGGGAGAGGCACAGAAAGCTATGGTGGTCCCTTTCCCAACATCCTCTCTGCATCTACTCCTTGGAATGCATGTACAACAGGAGGTCGGCGACGCGGTTGCTGTAGCCGTACTCGTTATCGTACCTGCAGAGAGACGATAAAAACGTGACAACGATCTACACAAATGTAACATAATAACAGTAAAACATCAGCCAACTCACCAGGAAATGAGCTTCACAAAGTTGTCGTTGAGGGAGATGCCAGCACCAGCATCAAAGATGGAGGAGTGAGTGTCACCAATGAAGTCTGAGGACACCACCTGCAGGCAGAATCCACATGTGTCAAATCTACAGCTTAGACGAGACAGCTGTCCAGCTCACAGGTCTCGTGTTTTACTCGCCTGGTCTTCGGTGTAACCCAGAACTCCCTTCATGGGCCCTTGAGCGGCCTTCTTCACAGCCTCCTTAATCTCAGCGTAGGACGCAGACTTGGTCAAACGGCATGTCAGGTCCACTACCGACACATCAGCCACCGGCACCCTGAACGCCATTCCTGTCAGCTTCCTGGAGGACCAGAGACATGTTGGTGATTTCTGAATTCATGCGCTAGTTAAATATTTTTAATGAGGCTGGTTGGGTACCCGTTGAGCTCAGGGATGACTTTGCCCACAGCCTTGGCAGCACCAGTGGAAGCTGGAATGATGTTCTGGTGAGCACCGCGGCCATCGCGCCAGGCCTTAGCGCTGGGACCATCCACCGTCTTCTGGGTGGCTGTGTATGCGTGGACTGTGGTCTGAGCAGAGCAGAGTGATGCAGCATCAGACACTGCTAAGGTGACAGATACAGACAACAGCATGCACTCCAGACTTGGTACAAGACAGAAATTACCATGAGAGCCTCCTCAATCCCAAAGTGATCATGGATGACTTTAGCCAGGGGGGCCAGGCAGTTGGTGGTACAGGAGGCATTACTGTCAAACACATCTGGTTAATGGTTTACCGTCAAATGCACCAAGATATGGTTTGGTGTGTGAAGCTACAGCAGAACTAAAAACACTGATGCAAACAAAAACACCTGAAAGTTACCTGACGATGGTCATGGAGGAGGGGTCGTATTTATCCTCGTTGACTCCCATGACGAACATTGGAGCATCAGGTGAGGGGGCAGACACGACCACACGCTGAGCACCACCCTGGATGTGAGACTGGACCAGAGAAAAGTGCTGGTTAGTGTGAGAAAATATATACAAGTATATTATCATTTAACCTGCATGTTTATGTAACTAGTGTTAGAACTTCTAATGAAATTCACTGGTAGCTCAGACAGGTACAGCTCAGTCTGCACTGCTGACGAGACAAGAGGCCTCTACTCCTCTCCTTATCCACTTAAGTGGCTGCTATGGAAGACCTGACTTGTGAAGAAAGCAGAGATTCTCATGTGCCGAGAAGTTTTACCGACACACTCGCACTAAAACTTAAAAGTAAAGTTTTAGCAGAGCAAGTCATGGAACAGAGCTGTATACATGCATCTGTGACGTTCCTCTCATTGATCAAATAATAAAATTGAACTGAAAATTATAATCATTCAGTGTGAGTAGGGCTGAAACGATTCCCCGAGTACAAAAAAGCCTCGAGTCAAATTCTCTGCCTTGAGGCTTCGTTTAATTCATGTTTAATTCATGGCTTTGCAATCGCCCGGGGTCATGTTTCACCCGGACCAAAATAAGTGACGCACATACACACTGCACTGAATGCACTCGTGAGTGGCGAATGTAACTTGACTTTCTTTTAAGCCATGGCGGACAACGTGGACCCCGGTGGAGTGCAAAAAAGACAGAAAATGTCAAAGGTGTGGGACCATTTTTCACTTCGTAAGGCAGAAAACGTAGTCCAGTGTAAATACTGTAAAATGGATCTAGCCTACCACAACACCACATCCTCGATGCTGCAGCACCTGACCAGGAATTATCCACATGTAAAAAAGTCACTTCTGCAAGTGGACTCGGAACCTCTACAAGATAATGCATTTTAGCCTGTATTTCTGTATGTTCTGCGGACACTGTGCAACTTTTTCGTTTGTAGCACTCGGTTTCAGCTCACACTGTGCGTCTGGTAGCAACACATTGGACTTAAAATGTGCTAAGAATAGCAGTTTTTACAACACGTCTGACTTTTTACTGTGTTGTTATTGATGTCTGTTGTCCCTCGGGATTGCTGCAGGAGGACACAGGTATTTATGAGTGTGATGGAGGAAAACGAAAGAAAGTAAATAAAGGTTTTGTCATCAGTATAATTTGACATAACCACAGCAAACATGCTTTCTCAAAAATCCTTGTTATTGTGTCAGAAATAAAAAAAGTGTAGAAATTAAAACGAACGTGTGTTAATAGGGAAATGGCTGGCGAGCCATGTTTGCGCATGCGCCGTGAGCGGTTCTGGTGCTGTTTAGGCCACAGCCGCTCGCATTTGTTTACTGTGAAGTAAAGTTTAAGTGCTGAAGTTTTGAAAACTAATTTTGAATAAAACTTGAATAACTGGCAATTGCTTGCTCATTTTAAGAGGCTTTTCATATTCTACAACATGCTTTTTGATACACAAACACAAAAGAGTAATTTATTAGAGTACTCAATTACAAAAATATTTGATAGCTGCAGCCCCAAGTGAGTTTTTCAATGGACAAAGCAGGGAAGAAAATGCCACTCTCCTGTAGAATGTGTCTGGCCGTGTGTGCGCGCGCGCGTGTGCGTGTGCGCACGTGCGTGCGCGCGTGCGTGTGCGCGTGTGTGTGTGTGTGTGTGTGTGTGTGTGTACATACCGAGGCCTTCTCCACACTCAGGAACACTCCGGTAGATTCAACAACATATTTGGCTCCAGCGCTGCCCCAGGGGATTTCAGCAGGCTTCATACTGACGTACAGAAACAAACAAGCTAAGTCAACGACTGCTGGAAGGTTTCCACCATCAGAACAGTTTTAACACGGCAGAGCTAATCAGATGTCGATTGTATTTCTGCAGAAAACTACATCTTCTGCCATCTACACTAGTGTGCAAAACCTGTGTGCAAAGCGGCACAGCCCTCTGCAGAAAGACAGAGTGATCCTTTTGAGTTGGTGCTTTTATGTTCTAGGACTGCTATGTGGATTGGGACATTACTGAGGGACCAGGAAGTTATCGTGTAATGAAAAAAAACTACAGATCAAAGGTCAGATCATTAAAAACCTCAACAGAAGAATTGCAGAAACGAGAGAACAAAACATCCCACCAGCCTACTGACCAATGGTACAACTAAGACTGGGCGATAGAACCATAGAAATACACAACGGGTCGATATAAAGAACAACTGAACAGCCATTCTTAGGTGTTGCTCCACGCTGAAAACAGCCACGTGGCAGAAGGCAGCTAACGGCTAACGTTTGTGTAGCTTTAGCCTCTTAGTGCAGGTAACATGTAATGGCTGATGAGAAAAGAATGACGTCTGCGCTGCTAACCACTCACCACTGGAAGACGGAGATGGGTTGACCGTTGACCATGAGCTTGTCTCCATCGTGGGAAATTTCACCACGGTAACGGCCGTGGGTGGAGTCATACTTGAACATGTAGACCTGGGAAACAAGCGAGCAGGAGAGGATTGGGCTTCATTAGCATTAAACTGGAACAAACCAACTTCCTCCATTTGCAAGTTACTGAACAGAACTTATTTCCACAAGTACAAACATCAAACTACTCAGTTTGTAGTTTCTCCGACCACCACCACCTCAGCCTCCACCCAGCTCCATGCAGATGTAAACATGAACACTACGGCTCCTCACCATGTACTTCAGGTCGATGAAGGGGTCGTTGATGGCTACAACTTTGATGCCTTTCTCAAGACAAGCCCTCAGGACCAGACGGCCAATACGACCAAAGCTGCAGCGACAAAAATAAAACATTTAATTCAGAATTCACTCAAAAAGTGGTAAAAAAATTAAATAAACAAACATTTTTTCTGAAAGACAAACCATACATCCATATGTCCTCTACATTAAATATCAGCCAAGATCTTTTCTTCTGTGTAGATGACACAAAGCCCCCCCCCCCCAAAAATCCAACTCACCCATTGATTCCAACACAGAGCTCAGGCATGGTTGCTGCTTAGGGACAAGTGGAGATACCTGAAGACAGATAACAGCTGATTTAGGATGTAGACACTTGAAGAGACAGCTTTTCAACTTTTAATCAGGTCCGACTGTTTGGTCATCGTTAAGTCACGAAACACAAACCACAGGAGAGTTCTGACTAGAAACTACGTAGAACTGGTTTTAATATTGGGGCATCTTAGACCTCATCAGCAGGCTGCTGGCTGCAACCCTACTGATTACGCATCGCTGTCCTCCAGGACAAATGTGGTCAAGCCAAACTGACCCGACATGCAACTTCCCATCAGAGAACTCCTGCTGAACCGTTACCGTTCTTGTGCTTTGTCCCACAAACACACATGAAATCTGGGCTATGGAGCAGGAAGCTGAGACGATAACTAGGGATGCACCAAATGAAAAATCTTGGCCGAAACATAGAAATTATGTCGATTATTAGAACCACAGCAATTATGTTACAAAATATATATCATAAATAAAAATTATAAACGTACAGGCTTATAACGGAAAGGCCTGCTGACAAGGACAGTAAAATTAACCCCTTAAGCGCCAAAGTCGTAATATTGCGTTTAACGAGCCAAATGTAATCCCTCATGAAGTTATTCCTTTGCACCAGAAGACAGTGGAGATGTGTGTGAGCAACGCGTTTGGGTGGGTCTTGATAATTTCAGAGTTTAAAAACAAAGACAAAGCTGACACACAAAAAGTGGAGCGAGATGAAACGTTCACCTGGCATCCTGTTTCAGCCGAAAACTGAAAACGCACTTTTGGGCCATTTTCGGACAAAGATGTTTGGTGGCTGAATTTTCGGTGCATCTCTAATGATAAGGAAACAGCACGGCTGTGTGAAGCTTCCTGATCAGATATCATGCGTGTCCAACTGTCTCAGACCCAGATTGTCCCTGGAATCGTTTTGAACTACTGTAATCTCCTAATCTGTCCTGCGTTTGTGTATCTGAACAGGGAGCAGGCGGTCAGTCTGGTGAAATGCATTTTGGGAGCACTTGAAATAGACTACATTTGAAACTGGATTACTACTACCCACATACATACACACCCCTAAAACGAGGTCTAATGGACAAAGTGTGTGTGTGTGTGTGTGTGTGTGTGTGTGTGTGTGTGTGTGTGTGTGTGTGTGTGTGTGTGTGTGTGTGTGTGTGTGTGTGTGTGTGTGTGTGTGTGTGTGTGTGTGTGTGTGTGTGTGTGTGTGTGTGTGTGTGTGTGTGTGTGTGTGTGTGTGTGTGTGTGTGTGTGTGTTGACACTGCCTGCCTGAACACCATCCTGTTTTCTCAGCAGAGTGGTTCTACTGATCAGAAACAAGATGGCTGCTTTAACAGATTATGGGGTGGGTGGGGGTGCTCTGCTGAATGACCATGCAGGTCAATGAGACCAATAAGGTGGGACTGAATGTGAAACATGCTCCAGTTGTGGAGACGTTCCCACCCAGTGCTGCGTGCCAAGGCAGGTTAGACTGTGGAACATTCCTGTACTGCTGCCCAGTGCCCTGCAGCTTTAGACAAGTTTGGCCCAAAACGGCAGTGAAGATTGAGATTAGGATTATGCAGACAGAGGAAAAGCACATCTCTCAATAGTAAACAATAGCGCAACGACAGAAACCAACGTGAAACCTAACCCGACTAACCCAGGCTACTCTAGGCTGCTTGTTTGGTGTTCAGATTACTGAGATTACATCTGGACAGATATTCTAAACTCGTTTCAAAAAGCAAATAAGAGAATTCTAATCAACCAATTTGTCATTTTTTCTTTTATTCTGAAGGTCAGATTCTTCACCTGCTCCAACAGGATTTATTAAACTCGTATATTTAACGGCCCGCTGCAGCTAACAGACAGTATTGTGCTGAGGAGAGTAAACACACTGTTCACCACAGCTCACCATCTGTTGCCACTCAGACAAGCTCATCCAGCCTTTCCCCTCCATCAGTCCACACACCAGCCAACATCATCATTAGTATTCCTTTGACCTCCTACCACCCCTCTTTGTCTGCATGTCCCCCCCCCCCCCACCCCCCACTGACCTATTTAATCCCACAAACAGAAGTGGAGTGACCCTGGACAGAGCAGAGGGTTAAAATGATCTGACTCCCGCTTAACTCGAGTCCTGATTCCAGGTTTAGAATAAAACTTCAGCTCTGACTCCTTTGGACAGACTCAGCTGTTTAGGGTGTGAAAGAGTTCTTATCCTAACCTCACCTCTCCTCTCCATGCTGCACCTCCCCCCATCCTCTCCCATCCGTCCTTCATGCTGTTCAAACCTTCCCCCAACGTCAGTCACACCTTCTAGTGTTTTTCCACTGCAGCAGGCTGATTGGACAGGAACCGCTCTATCCGGTTACGTAACACGTCACCTCCATGCCCGCCTCCTGGAACGTCTCTTTAATATAAACTACTATAGCCTCAGCTATGAACTAGGTTAGTCAGATGTCCATCCCAATCACACACAATCAGATCTAACCGCTTAGCCAGCATGAAGGAAATGTTCAACCTGCTGACATGAAATGTTTAATTTGATAAAGAAAACCAGAAAACACAAATGATTTTTCAGTGAGATTTAAAACTATTTAATAAAATGTGTTACAATTTGTGAAGTCAGCTTATTTTATAATGACCATAGCTGGGCCTCAATTTCGAATTAAAACCAAAACATAAATAAAATAAATACGAGAAACCAAACTTGTCTGATTTGCAGAAAAATGGGATTAAAATAAATAGAAGCAGAACGGTTGGCGTCCAAACTCAGTTGGACACACAGGTGCCTGATTTTCATTCTCTTATTCTTTTAATCAGTTTTTAAAAATAATTTCTGGCAAGGGCCGATATAGGAAAAAAATGAATATGTCAGCCCCATATATCGGTTGGCCTCTAATTGTGTCAAATTTCTAATCATTTAGTGTTCTGGCTGGAGAAAATGTCTGGAGACGTTCAACACATGTCAGTGTGTATGACTTAATCTGGAAACTGGACCGCTTCTGTCCCATAGTCAGCAAAGTAATCACTAGGGTGTGACTTAACTTTCTGGTTTGCATCAGATTTGATGACTTTAAGGCCATCTCGTGTACACTGAATAATCAAATCAGAGGAAAACGCCATGTCCAAGTCCCACGTGTGCACCTCATGGTCCATGTGGTAGACCCATTTCCTAAAAGGTGGTGACTAAAAGGCAAAGTGCTGAATCATCCTGAAGACTGAAATGAGTAATGACAAAACATTTTCATGGCAGTAGCCAGGGTTGTCCACATACATGCGTGTGTCCACTACAGCCTACAGCACACTCACTAGAAACACATTTAACATGTAATCAAGTCTCAGCAGGTTGTCTGTGCTTGTTGCTTAAAACGGTCAATTTATAATGTTTCATAAAAATCCAGTTAGGTGTGTCTGAGTCCTTCAGAGGCCTCTAGCTCCAGGATGCTTAGGAAGATGCTACACCCCCGCTTGTGACCTTCAGCAACAACAATGTCACACTTGATGACTGTAGAGTGACTAGAGCCAAACTCTTACAGGTTAGAGATAAAGTGGTGATTAGCGCCACCGCTGCTGCTCTGGGCCTGCCGGTGCCCTTCACCGGATGGAGAGATGACCTTCATCCCGTCAGACACGGTGCATCAGCCTGAGCTACTAGAGCGATGACCTGTCAAACGTTCACTAGTTCAGATTTACACCAGATTCTCTAAATTAATGCAGCCCAAACGCTTTTAGGCAAACTAGGCCTTCTCTGCGTCAACAGGCCTGTCGAGTGGGTCAAACTGCGGCAGAATCACGTGCCACTGCGCCACATCTGCCATTAAGAGGCACCACGAGAACACGTCATCTGGTTTTTACACCTAAAGTCGCGTTGTGGCGACTGCCTTTCTCATCACTAGTGTTGCTTCTGTTCACGGTGACTGCGTTCGTCCCGGAACGCCGTGAGACTTCATGATGCGGATTAGAGGAGGCACGTAGCCTCGTCAGCGTCATTTCAGCTCGATGCACGAACTCAACGGCAGGATTACGCAGGCTTTTCCGTTCCAGTTTCACTTGATTCGGTTCATTTCTGAATGGATTCACTGCACAAACACGGCGGTGCGAGCCTACATTCTCCACCGGATTAACACGGACATAACATAACACCTACTTCCGCAGATGCTGCGCTGCAATCTAGCCACTGTCGCGTTAGCCGCTTAGTGTAATCCGCAGTTTCATATGGGTGACTTTTACAGAGTTACTCCTTTAATGGAGACTTTCCAGCTTTTGGAGCCATTTTGGTTTAAACTGAGCAAAAAACTACAATAATGGGAGACACCGAGGCTCACGGCCAGCCTCCCCGCCCACATCCGACTCTTGTAGCCTGAAACGCATCATGCTAAAAGAGAGAATCAGAAATGCTTTTATAAAGCTCCCGTGACCGCTACCCCCTCGTGTGCTACACCAAACACACATCACACGTTTTAACCTTGAATGCGGATGGAGATCAAACGGACGATGCGACCAATGGCGATTTCCGCGAGCCTAGCTCACCTTCAGAAGAAACTGCGCCCTTAAAAGGCATTAAACGAGTTTAAAAATACATTAAATCCGTTATGGCAACGAGAATCTATCTTTTAATTGTATCGACCAACGAAGACGCTGCAGGGGCCTAAACATCGACAGTAAAAGTAACTCACCTCACTACTGATGCTCGTTCGGTCTGGGTGCGCTGTCCGCGGCCGCGCGCAGGCTTCCGCTTTTATACTCGACACGTGTCCAGTCACCCTAGCGACGTTACGTCACGCCATCCTCCGCTGGAAGGAACCATTCTGCACGAGGGACTGGTCACGGGCTCTTAGCTGCTGCCATGGTAACCGGGGCGATGAGCCAGAGGTCTGTCTGCTTAGCATCGTCTTTCCAGAACTCGCCCAGCAGAACCGTTTCTGTTTCTGTGACCAAACGTGATTTATTCTACGATATCCCAGTGCCTGTAGGACAAGGTTCCTCTGGGTTCTCCAGAGGAAGTGGAGGGGACCGGTGAATCCCATCATAGCATGGTACAGGCCAAGTGACTGAATCAGAACCGCAGCTATTAATCACCATGGTCCTAGTTTTATTTGACTGGTCTTAATTACCAATATAGCTACAATAACCGTATTTTATTTTGTCTTTCCTCTTGGATTCATTTGATGAAAGTAAGAAGTCCTCTAATCTCCTCCCCCCTTTGGTCAACAGTGACACGCCAGACTGTGCGTACGTGAGGCAGGATGCGTGCAATGCTGCAACGTGGGAAATCCCTGCACTGCAGCAAATTAACCACCACACCACATCCGCTTTCATCATCTCACGTTGCTGAGGATTTCCTCATTTTAGAGCAGAAATCTGCAGTTTAGTATTATTTTCATAGATTAAAGCAAAACAATTCTTCTCATTAGTACCTTTTAGCCAAATGAAGGATAAGACCTTTTATGGTTAAACACAGAGTTGTGCAGTTCACAACTCTGTCAAGTCGTAGTGCCCACAAAAATAGTCAATGGCGCCATCTGCTTGATAAAAAGCGATCCTGCACGTTGGATGTAGTTCTGAGGTAATTCACAAGGACAATAGCCTAGTGAACTAGACCAAATTCTTGCTTTGCAAAGTTTGGTCTAGGCATGCTCCACTGGAACCTCTGCAGCCCCAACAGCATTCTGGCTGGCCAATCACAGCTCTCTAGAGGGCTTTCAAACACATAAAGAGCTGTGATTGGTCCATAATGGTGGGCCAATCATAGTGCTCTATCAGCTTAGTGAACAAATCACAGACATTTATCTGCTTTGTGGGCCAATCAGGGCACTCTATATGCCTGGTGGGTGGGATGATGCAACAGAGTGAAACAAGAGTATGGCCGTGTTCGAGATGAGCCAGTTCTGCAATAATAGTCTGCAGCTAGACCTTACTCCAGTTCTGCGCAGATTCGATCACCGGTGATCGGCGCGCAGTGCATGCCGGTTAGATTTGTGTCCGACTTGACGCCGACTTGCTCTGACGTCATGCATACGTAGGCAACGATATCCTCGTGAGATCAAGGCGGCCGCAGATTTTGGAGCAAGGCGCTGCAGTTGCTCTCCACCAGCTGCTAAACCTAGAGGATGACGGGAAACGCCTGGCTCTCACCTGATCAAAGATCTGATTGGTTCATATTTTGATCCAAACATCCGGTGGTAGAACATGAAATGTTAGTTGTAGCTATAAATCAGGTTTTGATGATGACAACAATATAGGCCATAAAGAGAAATGTGTTTTGTGTTCTTTTGGCACGTTTCCTATGATCACACTAAACCTACAGCTGATAACCTTTACTCATTATTACAGTCATGTCTCTATATGCATTATAATCTATCCACAAGCATGTGAGGATGTGTTTCTGCTGCTAACAGGCACCAGAATTTTACTTGTTCTTTACAATAAAATGTGTAATTCTAACATAGCAGAAATCTTATTGAATTGATTCAGACTTATCTTTACATTTTTAAACACCTCAGAAGCAAAACTAACATAATTTATATCAGCCAAATGCACCATTTTATACTATGCATACTGTTTATCAGCTATCTATGAAGCAAAATGTCACTGTTTATTATATTTGTGATTCATTTGTTTAGCAGCACATCACACACACACCATGCTCACTCATGTTTTTTTGTCATAAGCATACATTAATGTTCCTGGAAATAGAACATGAACAGCAATATGAGTCACACTCGAACAATTGCTGAGTTTATTGATATCTGTGGAGGTTCTCAGTCATCCAGGTCATAGTTATTTTATAAAAGGTTGTCAAACAGCAACTGGATTATGTTATTTCTTAAACAACATTTCACCCTCTCATTCCAGAGAGCTATCTCAGTTTGTTGAGTTCTCAATGTTGAATGGAGACACAGCCACAGTTATTGGTTATGTCACCATAAGCTTTAATGAAGAAACAAATGTCATGATAAGTTCCACCATCAGCAAAGTTCTACAATAACTAATGAAAATTGTTTATCCCTCTTCTGTCAGCAAATGGATGAACTTTTGGTCGCACAGCGGTGGGAAGTGCACCACCTGGCACAACTGTTTCAACTCCCCTCTTTCCTAAAGAAGCCCGTCCTTCAGCGGCTCAGTCATCACCTGCTGAACCCGAAGAGCAACCTGGTCCCTCATCGGCCATACAGGACAGACAAGCTTCTGGCTCTAAGAGAAGCAAGACTGCTCATCTCCCAGCATTTTTTCAGTCCTATGAGGCCCATGCTGAGCGCAGGACCACTGCCTTGGAGTCACTTACAAGGCCAGAATTGGCCAACTGGAGATGGCTGAAAGAAAAAAGAAGAAGGGGGTTTGAGAAACAAGTAATTACATGTATGGGTCAAATCCTGAATCAGTTAAAAGAACTTGGAATGCAGCAAGAAAAACGTATCAGTTTGTTAGAAGGACACTCAAAATAAAAATGTATATCTGAGCATTAAAGGTATTTTTGTTTCTTATCTTTAAAGGATTTAACATAAAAGCAGTGGTCGGCATGTCAAATTACAAACGGTAATGTCACTTTGCCTCTGCGGACCACTGATGCTCTGAGATCCCCTGATGGTTTTGCCTGGGTTCATATCACCCAGTTTCCATGAGCTGCCACTGGGAGGCACATCAGGAGTCTTGATGATAGAGATGCACTTTGTTTAAAACTTAATGTACATATTTAGGAGTTGGAGAGCAGACTGATTTCACTTAAAGTGCATCAAATCACCCTGTGGCATACAGCACACCAGCTCACATTAATGTGTGGGAATGAAGAATAAAACCAAACATTGGATAAGGTGCTGGGGTAAGGGTGGGCTAGCTTGAATCTGGGAACAAATCCTGTCTCTGTAGTTTGAAGCATCTTCATTGTTGGGTTGTGGTGGATGTGGGTCATTCTCATCCTGCTCTAGCTCATCCTCCTCCACATGGTCACTAGGATCCAAACAAATGCTGTACAGAAGGCAGCATGCTGTCACAGTTGCACTAACATGTCCTATGCCTTTCATGTGAAGACATTTGAGCCTCCTAAACTTTGCTTTCAGCATACCAAATGCATGTTCAATGACAACACGTGCCACATTCAGTTTTCTATTAAAGTGCCTTTGGCTGGTTGTGAGGTGCCCATTATCCCTGTAAGGCTTCATCAGCTGTGGCAATAGGGGGTAAGCTGAATCTCCAATGATGTGCATGCCATTTGGGACCAGAGCCTGGGGGTCTTCTTCAAGTAGGTGTGCAACAGTTGTGTGGCAAAAGGCTCTTGCATCATGCCAGCTGCCAGGGTGGCCCACACTGACATGACAGAAGCGGCGATTACTGTTTGCAAACCCAGTAAGGATTATGGAATAGAACTGTTTTCTGTTATAGTATGCTGTGGGATCATTGCAATTTGGTCTGACAATGGGAATGTGACATCCATCAATGGCACAGACTGTATTTGGAAAACCTGCTCTCTGAAATCCGAGCTGTGAGGTGTGAAGCTGTTCACCAGTAGGCCAAGAAATGTAATGTGACAAATGTGTGATGACCAGGGAGCAGAAGTGATGGAGATGTGCAAAAACTGTAGATTTGGATATGTTAAAACGGTCCGCCACTCCCCTGTATGACTCCTGATTTGCCAGCGTCCACAGACAGGCAAGAACACTTTTAGACAAGGGTAATTTGGTGTGCTGTCTGTACATGTGGAATGGTCCCAGTGCCATCACTAGATCCTAAATGGAAAAGTCAGAAAGTGAACATGATATCTGAGCAAATATGAGTAGTGGTAACCATCACAAAAGCCTACCTCCAATTGTCCTCTGGAAAGTCTGAAGTGGCTTTTAAAGTCAGAATGACGGAATAACATTCTCAACAAAGTGTTTCACTTTTGGCACAAACCTGAAAGAAATTATATGCACATTATTCTAATTTACATCTGAAGCAGTATCTTCAAAGACGAAATATGCAGCTTTGCTTAACTTTGGGACTATTTCCAAATGAGTTTTTAGATCTTAAAGAAATGGAAACAAATGCACATGGTGGTTGTATTTGGCGTTGCACTACTTTAATGCGGTTACCTACCTTCGCAGTTTATATCCATTTTCATGTAGAAGAATAGGTATTTCATCTGCATCTATTCCATCCGCTATTATGAACGCTAACGCGATATCTTCAGCCATCGTCACCCGCGAGCTACACATGCAGGAAATTGTGTCCGACTTAAACCCAGGCTTTCAGCCACTCCCCCTGCTGCTTCCGTCTGCTCTCGTCTGTTTTCCAGGCGAGGCGCAGCTCAACTCGAACACGGCCTATGTCACATTCCTTGTCCAGTACCATGCGGAGATCATTTGAAAGACAACGAACCCACCCCACAACCAAGAGCCGTCAATGGAGCGTTGCCAGACTACATTTATTTAGTCTGGCTTGCCAGGCTAAAAAGACAAGGAATGCAAGAATAGACCCATATTTTGTATAATACCCAGACAGAGGTCAGATGGCTTTAAAGTGACAGTGTGTATTTTTTCTGGCGATAGAGGGCAGTTGATTCCTGAATCATTGAAGGAAGTAGTATTTTTGTGTTGGAGTAAGACTTTACCAATGGATGCTCACTAGGGTCAAAAAGCCCCTGGGCATGCAACTTTAGCAAAATAACAAGCACATCAGACTCCCTTTCATCACTGGCAACAAGTGAAGAGGTACATGTGTAAAACACCATTTAACTCATTCACTGCCCGCCGTTTCCTGATCGCTAAAGGCCTTCGCTGCCAGCGTTTCTCGCCGTTTTTACTGTTTTTTTTTAAGAGTCACA